ATTCGGATGCAATCATGTTGTGATTTGTTGTAAAATACTTGCTATCTGCGGCCCTACGACATTGAATTCAATACACCGGTATCGTTCATTACAATGAAACTTTTTATTAGGTGTATGCAAATTGGCCAAATAATTTTTTACGCTGCAAAATATAAGTTTCAATTTTTTAAGATGTTGCGACTGTACGCCTGTATTTGTGTATGTGCATGTGTATCATTTGAGTGTTGGAAAACATTAAAATTTACTCATTTTAACGATAACATAACTCCAGCAGTAACAGTTGACAGAGAGTCTCTTTTTTGCGTTAACGGATACAAGAGATGCGTTAACAGTTGACTTTACCTATCTTATCAAAAAAATTCGAGCGTCGATTTAAATTATTTGTTTATTCTTTATATTATTTTATTCAAGCAGTCTGTGCAAATCTGGGTATTCATAGCCAAATATGAATACATTTTCTTAACAGCTGGGCGACTCATCACGATAACAGTTACGCGAAGTCAAACAGTAGGGTTACAGTTACAGTTCATTATGAGCGTGCCCGCAATTATTTAAAAGTTGAAACATTGATGATTACACCAATCGTACAGAGGAGCCTTGATTTTTTAAATATTTTGTAATGATCGAACAATACAACCAATTTTTAAAGTACGGAAGGTCATAATAATCACACTGCTATTTATTGCTGAAGCTTCGGTTTAGGACAACCATTATTTGGAAACCTCTTTTTTGTTTTAGAATCATCCCGAAATACCAAAAAATATATATATGATGATGTTTTAAAACGTTTATTTATGAAAAGACTTAAACATTAAGAAACATTTTTTTAATGGTTTTATGTTTTATTACCGCATTGTTTTCCTATTTTGATATCATTTTCTCAATTGGCTCTTTATATTGATTTTGACGTAGCTATATTAGAATATTAAAATTCCTGTCTAATGGCTTGTAATCTTATCAGCAAATCACAATATTTCTTATACGGTATTAAATTAACATATTCTAAAGGCAAATCAACTTCCAGATTTGAAAATATTTACATTTTCTTCTAGCTTGGCTCTTAGCTCGAGGAGCAATGCCAACTTTGACCTGTCAGTGGACGATGAAGTTGAAAATTTGAGTCGTTAACTAGCCTGCAGCTGGTCCGTTTGCTGTTCTGTGTGTGCAGGTGTATGTGTGTGTTTATTTGGCAATGTAAAACATGTGTCTAAAACAATTTATAAATATGTTTATAATATCTTTGTGTGGCATTGTGTAAGCCACAGCAGCCTGGGCAGCCATATGGAAATGGGGTTTCGGTGACACGCAACCAACTCACTGCATGAGCAGCAAACAGATGCAAAACCCAGACTAAGACTAAGATAGAGACTAAAGATTGTCTAAGCAATGTCAATCGGGCCGGGGGTGAGCCGTCTGGGGTCTTAGGCTGGGGCCACACCGGGCCACTTTGGTGTGCGCCAAGTTTTGTTTTTGGTTGCTTTGGCAGCGTTTTGGCTTTTATCTGCCTACAACAGCGACAACGAGCTCATTCAATTAACCAGACGCGTTCCATGTGGCTCGGCTCCTATCTTGCTTAGTGCTCTTCGTGGTCGTACGTGATAAATATGCGAATTCCCAGCACTCTCTACGAAATGTCCAGCATTTTCATTTTGTTATTGTCGCTCTGGTGTTTACTTTCCCTCATTCAACCGGCAAAAGGTTGTAGCTGAGATCTACTCTCTGATAATATAATCTGCATGTGACTTGTGTTTTCCATTTTATATCTGTGTGTTCAATAGCCAAATTCAGCTTGGACGCATTGAGATTCTTGCTGCGTAATGGCAATTTCGATATTAATCCATTTAATTGCCATCTATTGTCGTGGGAAACGTGTCCCATGGAATATATTGGATTTCAGCTATTTACCAGGTGAGTTGATTTATGAACTAAAGCTTTAAAATTCTAATAAATTAAATTAAAAACTTATTTGAATGATTTAAATAATTATGAGTTTCTAGAATACATTTTCTTCCATTAACCTTATGTGAAATTATTAAGAAATAGATAACAACGTTAACGTTTTATTCTCAGTTTTATTTGAACGAGTTACATAAATATAAAAATACAAATATTCCCAAACATAATATGAAGACTATTTTATGTTGTGCATCTTATGATATAATATTTAAAATCGTCAATATATATTTTATTAAATAAATTATCCGTGAAAATCAATAAATCAAAAACATTAAAAATGCAATGTGAATTTTTATAACAATTTTTTGAAGTGTGAAGCAAAGTTTTTTGTGTGAGTTGAAGTCTATGCTGTGCTTTAATTAAAATTGCAAGACCGTCTTATACCGCAAAACTGGGACCATTCCTGGGCATTTTTGAGACTATTTTATATTACTTAAACATTATACTGTTAATAAGATATGTTGGTTTTTGATATTGCACAATCCCAACTAGACAATGGTCAAAAAATGATTCGAGTTGTGCCTTAAAAAACTTAATGGAGAATATTTAAATAAACATTAAAGCCATAGATTGAATTTTAAAATAAATAATATGCATATTTGTCATAGAATAATAAATATAATTGCCCGCCATGACATTTGCAACAACTAGTTTATAATTGATATTACTTCAGTTGTCTTCTCTTTAACATATTTCTTATTTCATTGTATAATGGCTTTTGCAAGGTTCATTTTCTTGTCTTCACAGTCATTTGTTTGTTATTTAAATAAACAAATATGCAAAAAATAACATTCAAAACCTTTCCATTTTCCTGAAGCCTGCACTGTTTCTGCCTTAGTCCAGTTTTCTACGCTATCCGCAGGTTACCTCATACAAAGGCTTACTTTTACCCATAAATCACGGCCTAACGTCATCAATAAACTTGCTTTAAATACTTTTATAACAATCTTTCACTTTTCTACGCCCTTGCTGCTTCGTTGGGGTTTGAATATTTTGTCACAGACGACTTTGCCTCCTTTTTTTTGTTAGTCCGCAAACAGCCATAACAATGAGGCCAATGTAAAAGTGGAAAAGCATTTATTTGGTGCACAGCATGAAATCGCTTGAAAGACAAAATTTTGGCCAGAAAATTGCCCAAAATAGTTTTCAAATCATATGAGATTATCTTATCAGTTAAACTGTATAATTATAGCTGTATAGCCATATAAAATGTAATTTTTGCCGTGGCTTCGTCTATTTACGTGCATGGTCAAATCAAAAGACTTAGGCAACAAACTTGCAATAGTCTCGTTAACAGTTTCGTTTCTATCTTTCATAACAATTAAGCACAAAAACATAGCTAACCACCACGAAGTGAGTGTACGCATTAAAATATATCTATAACCATTTAAATTTACATAATATCGTGCTGAAGAAAAAGGAAAAACAACAAAACAAAACAAATTACAGACTCGACCGCGGATGATAACACACAGCAGCAATTGGCTGCGACGACTGCGAAAAGCGAAACCAAAACCGAAAACCCAACTGAAAACCAAAACAAGCAAGGAAAATTATTTTTTAAAACGGTGATTTCCAAATACTCTGCAACTGCAGTGTATTTTTAAACAATTTTTAATCTGTATAGACTTTAAAGCAAAGTCAAATATTTGTGCTAAAAACGAGCCTAATACCCATTTTGAGAATGATATTTAAAGATGTGTAAAACTGACACATTCTGTAAATTTGGTGAAATGGAGAGTATTATTTTTAATTTTAACTAATTTTAAACAGTTCCTCACATAATAAAAGGCAAATGAAAAACCAAACTATGCTGAATCTGAGCTTTTACAATAATGAGCTTAGTTGATTATTTATTAAAGTCTGTCCTTCGGTTCTCAGTATAAACCTTTATTTTCGGTTTGAGCCTAGGTTCCTCCTTTTTTAAAAGTGTAGTTGAATAGTTCAAAACGTGCCAAACAGTTTTTATCCTATAAAAATCTGTGCTTAGCGCATCTGGTTTTTAGGCAACTAATTAGTTCGGTTCTTGGTTCAGTTTCTACCGAACAAAAACTGGAATTCCTGAAATCGTTTCGATTCAACTGTCCTGATATAATTCGATATACCGCTTAAGCACTTAGTTTGTCGCGAAATACTTTGATCTCATTGAGATAGTATTTAATCTAACCAACTAGTTAAGAAATTACTTTTCATCAAGAAAGTACTAACAATTTTACAATACCAATCAGACGGCTATTGCCATAATATCCGCTCCGCGGAATGGTATACAAAATCAGTGCAGCGTTGCGTGTGAGTTTCCACACAAAGTCAGTCGAAAGCATTCGCGACTGCGCCGCCAAGGTAAAGTCAAGGCAATAAGTGGCAGCGGCAGCGGCTGCGGCTGCGGCAGCGCCGACGACAGCGAAATTCTTTGGATAGTTGGCAACAGTTGCTGCGGCTGCATTTCCACTGCACTTGGCGCATTCGAAGCGCATCGCGCGAATTGGCAAGACGTGAAAAGCATCCGCCGTTATATGAAAAGGATACAAACCCGTATTGGACAAATTTTTGTGTCGATTTTTTGAGTTGAGAAAATGTGCAAAAGCAAATACGAACTGAAATACAATGTTCAAAAGATAAATAAAAGCAATCTGTATAAATTGTTTATAAAAACGAATTTGTTTTGAAGAAATTGCACTTTATTGCATTATTTATGGCGTATATGAAGCAACTGTCAAACAGGCTTTAAAACAAAAAGTTGTTTTTAAATATGCTGCAAAAACTGTTAAATCAAAAAAGGCGAAGAACAGGTTTTTGTTAAAAAACACAACAAGAGTTTACAAATATTTCTTTATAATTAAAAAAAAAAATTTTAAAAAAATTTAAAATTATAAAAAAAGTCAAGTGAAATATAAGTTAAAAATTCCTAGTGAATGCACAATAAATTAAATAATTTAAATTTAAATGAAAAATGTATGAAAATTCATGAAATTTGAACTAATTAAAACGGCATGCACACAAATAAAGCCAAAAAAAATTAAGTAATTTGTAAAAATAAGTTTAAGCCAAGCAATTGCTAATCGCATTGCATGTCAAATTTATAATTCAATGTAAAAGTCAAAAAACACAGTGAAGCAAACACACATGTGTGGCAATTAAAAGTGCTTGGTGCAATTAGTGAAATTACAATTCAAGAGAAATGAATTGTTTAATTGTGATTTGCCTCTTTACGCTTATTTTCAAAGGTACAACAACAACAAAAAAACGACAATTAGAAATGTTGACAAATAAGTTTCGCTCACGATCTAACCATTTTTGCAGATGTGCAAACGCTGCTGCTGAACCAAATGGATTGGAAAAATCTGCTTAACAGCGGAGCGCTGGATGTGAACGTGTTGCGCTGTTTTCTGCGCGACAAAAACTTTTGTCCCAGTCCCTACATTGAGCATCGCCTCTATGCACCGTAAGTTCGTGGGCTCGAATCTCCGATTCAATGACAGCCAATTAAGGCCAATGCGATAATCTCCGAAGTGTGTCTAATGTATGCACAATACTCTCAGATCTTATGCCAAACCGATTTTGGGAGAAAGTGTGAGAAATCGGAAGATGTTCCGTTTTGGTAATGGAATTCGCCTGGTCAGTGTGCCAGCTTTCAAAAAACTTGTGCAACCACAAGGATATGGGTTGAGTATATATAATTAATGGGCACGCAACTTGTTTTCTCGATGCCGCCAATTCGACCCAGTTCAGAAATTGGCACAGAAATTGGCCCGCGGCGCAGGCTGCTTGGCGTGGCCAATAAGAGCGCCCGAAGATGACATCAATTGCAATTGAAAATAAAATATTGCACAAACGCCGCTTACAACCTGTCTGCCAAGTCTCGACCAAGTCCAAGTCCAAGTCCAGCTTTAACAAGTGCAGCTGCCTATTTTGGCTAGCCAATGTTGCGGTAATAGATGCCTCACATTACGTGATGTGCACTTCACAGATGCAGCCAAGTATTAGCTGGCAAAAGAAATGGTTATTTTCATTTGAAGAACGGGTAAGGCCCGGTTGCCACCCGTTAAGATCGCTTTACGGTTAAATGCTCCCACGCGTGCTTAACTAGAAGATACACAAGGAATTTATGCAGAAAGCTCGTGTTCATATTTGATTTATTTTAACTAAATAACAATTCTTACACTGAAAAAATCGTAGTTTTTTCATTGCTTTTTCTTTAAAACAAATTTTATCATAGATGATAAATCAAAAGACTTTCTAACTACCCTAGAAATACATTATCTAGACAAACCACTTAAAAGACTGCCAAGGTCTGGTTGTTCGTCGATTTGGAATTTTTACTGGAAACTACCCTAGGAATTCATATAACAATATTGAATTGACTTGGACTTACTTCTATAAATATGACTTATTATGTTACATGTTACAGATAATCAGTTAATACGAAAAATACGGGTCAAATGCCTATATTTAGGCTTCAAGCTTATCACGGTGACTACATGTTGGTACTTAATCCGATACACATCTAACCTATAGTTCGGGTAGATCAAAAATTTTCAACAGGTGGGAAATTGGTGTAAAATTGATCTCTAAAATTTAAAGCAAATAGAAAGAAATACCCGTTATTAATATATACTTATATTAAGAAACTTTTTCGCGAACTTTAAAATGATGCTTTGTTTATTGACCAGTTGTATTTAGCGTGAGCTGATATTTATATGGTATTTTACTTTGGCTATTTAAGGAGTGTAGAGAGAAAGGATACAGATTTTGAAAAAGTTCTTAAACGAAATTAATAAGTTATATTAAATTCTTACAATTAAGCCTTTTTATCAGCTTTACATAAACGTATTGAGCCACAAAATCGGTTACACATTTCAAGAGTCTCAACTTACAAATTGTTCAAATTCACGGTAATGTTATTGTTTTATTGTTGCATTATTTGTGGGAAATGAATGAATGTTTTGATGTGTTTGTTATGCGTCCATATTCATTTGAATGTATTATATTTCATTAGTGTATCATATCAAACCCAATTGCTATCCGTCTAGTCACTGATGCATAAATGGCGCAATATCATTGTTTTGCTTAGCTGCTAATTTCCAAGGCACATACATATGTATATGTATATTTGCATGTTTACATAATTTTTATCTGGTTTCGCTTTTTCTTTCCGCAGCAATGGGCCACGCTCTGGGCTGCCACTGAACATACACAATCCGTTGACCCTGTACAAGGGCGGTTTCAGCAAGCAGCGCGAGACGGTATTCATAGTGCATGGATTTAATGGGACCGCCATTGACATGCATCTACAGTTTCTGAGGGATGGTTAGTGAGTATGAATTGGACGCGCCAGGCAAGACCTGGCGGGGTTAACTATCGTTTGTTTATCTTTAGCATATTTGTCGCGCGAATTTAATGTGATAACTGTCGATTGGCGACCACTGACCCGCTACCCCTGCTACCTGCACTCGCTAATCAATACGCGCCTGACGGCACAGTGCACGGCTCAGGTGTACTCATTTCTCACACACTATGGTGCCTCGCGTGAGAAGATCACCTGTGTGGGCCATTCGCTGGGCGCCCACATCTGTGGCATGATTAGCAATCACTTGACCAAGAAACAGTATCGCATCATAGGCCTGGATCCAGCGCGTCCACTAATCGAGCGCAAGAAGAGCAATCGATTTCGCTTGTCCCACGATGATGCGAGTGTCATACAGGTGCTCCATACCAATGCCGGCTATCTGGGCCAAGAAGACAATACGGGGCATCTCAACTATTGTGTAAACGGTGGCCGCGTGCAGCCGTTCTGCAAAGGAAATCCGATTAGTAAGAACACAAAATTGTATATATTAACTAATTTCATTTGCGTGTATCCAACAGGACGCTATCGCTGCTCGCATTTTCTAAGCATATGTTACCTGGCCACGGCCACCATGAAGCACACCAAGTTCATGGGCGTTCCCTGTCCCAATGGCTGTGTGAATCTGTCAGGCCCCAAACGTCTGCCAGTTAACGGTAAAGTAAATCCATTTGAGTTTATATCACTGCTGCGAGAATATTATATAGGAAACGATGCACCTGATAGGTAAGTAATCTGCTACTTGCTATATATCGAGAAATAAAATTATTATCTTGCTTCTAGTGCTCGCGGCTGCATTTGCATTGATGTCCCATATGCTAAACACTGTCCCTTCACGGATTGATAATAATCGGAACAATGGTGCTCAATGCACGCTGTACTAACTATATTTTGTAGATACATGTTTTAAGAAGCTTTAGGCACTAATTTTAAACAAATGGACGGTACAGTTTTTAAGAAAATTATTTATTTGTAAGCCAAACTCATATAGTTCAGTCATAAGGTCTATCGAACTGCTAGTTCCTGCGCGAACTGAACCACTGTTTGGATTCAGTGTTGGACAATTTTATACAGCATTGGGCGGGAACAAAGCAATTCGAATTATATGTATTCATGACAAAACTGAGCGGACACATAAATAAAACTTTGTGGCACACAGATAATGGGCCAAAATACATGGTAGTTGTGCATATAGAGTTTGATTTATCCATCATTTTGGCTTTTATTTACAGTTTAAGCTGTTAGCAGCGGCTATTACAGTTTGTTAATTTAACAAAAACTATCTTATTTAACTCTTTCCACGCCACCATTGAGGTAGAGTTAACAGCGCCTTTTTTTTTATGTGGCATCCCCAGCAGGCCTAATCCACAATACATTAGTATTTATTCATTTTTAATAATTATAAACAATACTATTAAGACTATTTTAAATATTATAAACAAACAAATTTAGATTAAAACAAAAGTAATTGTATATAATAATATTGGCATACTTAAAATTTTAGTCGCATATTTTGCACTACGGCTACTATTTAAGGCTTTACCAAAAGATATCGTAATATTTGCATGCTTACACTTTACGTTACATACGTCAAAATATAAATTTTCATCGATAGTACTGATCCTTTCGATTCCAAAATGGTATAAAACTCTAAAATCGGACATTATT